CCGCCGTCCCCGTCAGCGACCGAGGGGCCGTCGGCGAACCAGCCGTCGCTCCGAGTCAGGCCGGGAGGGGCCGCGTCGCCCTGCGGGGGTGGATTTGCTCCTCCCCGGGGACTGTGCCCGCAAGCCGGGCTCTGCCTGGACAACGTCCCCTGTGGGGGCACGTGGCTGTCCCTGAGCCGCCCCCTCCCCACGCTGGATGTGCGCTTCCTGTCAGCGCCTGCGGGCTCGGGCCGCTCCTGCCACGTCCTCGGGACCGTTTCTGCCCGCGACGCCCTGGTGTCTGAGACCCCGCGGCGACCGCAGGGTTAACGGCGGGAGGCTCGGCGGCTTCAGGTTCTTCAGGAAGAAGCCACGCCCCGCTCTCTGTTTCTGGGGACACAGTCCGGGGGCGGCAGGGTCTCCTCTCCTCCCCCTGCCCGTTGCTTCCCGGGGGCGGAGCGAAGCTTTACGGTGCAAATGGGCCTGTGCACTGCGCCCGGGCGTGAAAGGAGAGTCTGGGTTGGGCATTTAATTCTGATGATAATTTGAAGTTGCTCAGCTTGTGCTCAGCCGTCCTGGCCTGAGCCGGAGCCTGCACCCCGGGCATCTCTGAGGCACGTGGCGCTGCCCCAAGGGTCGCCTTTTTCTTGCCAGGTGTCTGCTGATGGTCGCCTGGTTCACATCGGCCGCGTCCTGCGATCTCCACGTGCTGCCGCGTCAACGGCAGGGGGCGCTGCTCTCCGTGCAACAGCGGCCGGCGGCGTGGGGTCCTCTCCGCCTGAGCTCCGGCAGCGCGGCACTGACTGCGCTCTGTCCTGGGGGCCCTGAAATGGGGCTCCTTCCCCTTCCTGGGAGCCCTGCGGCGGCAGCTGCTCTATCCCAGGCCACGGCAGCCCGTCCCCGTCGGTCGCGTCCTGTTGTTGGGAATCTGCTCTGGCACCTTGCGATTCCTGCCTGGTGTGTTCTCTTCCTCCCTCTGAGTGCTGTGGGGTCTGCGGCCCGGGCCGAGGACCTACCACTTGCCTTCTTAGCCCTGCGGGGACAGCGACACACACTTGTCCCCATGGGTCCTCTAGGTGAAGATTTTTAGGTTTAAGAGCATCATCAAAAGTAACCTTAAGCCTTGGCTGGTGTGGATCAGTGGACTGAGTGTTGACCTGTGAACCGAAGAGTCACCGGTTTGATTCTCAGGCAGGGTATATGCCTGGGCTGTGCACAAGAGACAACCACAAATTGATGTTTCTCTTCCTCTCATACCCCCTTCCCCTCTTTCTAATTATAAATAAATAAAATCTAGTTTAAAAAAAAAAGTAACCTCGACATTGTCAGTGACTAACTTCCCGGCGTACTTCCCCGCGCTGAATTCCTGTCTTTGTGCCTGTGGGCACCTGCCTGGGACAATGTCCTCAGAGGCAGCGCGGCACCGCTCTGCCATCGGCTCTGGGAACGAGCGGTTGTTCCAAGTCCCTGGGACACTGAGGACAACCTGCTCCCCTCCGTGGTTTGTGCAGGGAGCGCTTACGAGCTGGAACCTCAGTTTCATGCCTGGGGTTTTCCACTGGCAGGACGGCGTTTTGCCTTCTTTTCAAAGCAAGGCCTTTAAGTCTCTCTCCCAGCTCACACTTCATACTGTTCTAGTGGCCACGAGACATGATTTCTTTACACGATACGATTCAATCTGCCAGTTTAGCCAGCAGCACCCACAAATGGTTTCCACTGAGGCTGCTCCGTTCTTTAAGCCTGGAACGAGCCTGTCTCTCCAGCACCCGCAGAGGTGCGGCTCTCAGCCAGCAGTGAGCGGTGAGCAAAACAGCCCTCCACCGCGGTGCTTCTGCAGATGCCGTTTCAGTTGTTTTTCCAAGTCTCAGAGCTAAAGAAGGTTAAGAGTTCAACTCTGAATATGAGTCCAATCTGCCTTTGAATGAGAGCGCCTGACTCAGCTGGCGGTGGGGGCTGAAAGGGTTAAAAAGCTGCAACCGGTGCGGCACCGCGCAGCTCCCGCGTGGGGCCCAAGGGCAGGGCGCCCGCGGCGGCACAGGGCGCAGGTCGGGCCAAGAGAAAAAGGCAATGAATTAGACGCAGGCCGCCCGCGCCAGGCCCACTGCGCCAAATGCCCCGAACCCGTGTTTCGCGACCTAGCCTTCCCTTGAAGCCAGACTTCGGTTCCTGCTCCGGTGGTGTGATTTGGGACTTAGGAACTGAAAGTGCCAGCGGTGAGCCACCCGTCCCATAAGTGACAGCAGCACTGAGAAATAACAGGGAGCCAACGCAGGGGACAATGCTGTTCACTCAGCTTTTATGACTGTAAATTCACTCCAAGTCCCTACTAACCTAGTAACAATAATACTAGCCTAATGACAATAGTAATCACTCAAACAATCAGTAACGACGTCACACAGAACAGGGGGACAACGACCCCGAGTCCCAGAGTCAGTTTGCGGCCCCGGGGGACAGCACGGTGGGCGAGGGGCCGCCGTGGGTGCCCTACGAGGCGAATCTCTGGGGCAGGGGCCGCGCGGCAGGCCCCAGGCCACACCCAGGGCGCTGTCCGCGTTCCGAGCAGGGAGGGGCGGAGGCAGAGGCGGCGCCCAGGCCGGGCCGCAGGGCAGCCTCCGCTCCAGCTCAGCCCGCGGCAGCCTCCGCGCGGCGCCGGGGCGGGCGGGACAACCCGTCACAGTGCTGTCCCGGGGCCGGCGGCACGCTGCTTCTCACACTCGCTGCTGCTGTCGCGGCCACCTGGGAGCTGAAAGGACAGGCACGCGGCTGCCGGCACCGTGGCCCCAAGAGGCCGGGCTGTCACTGAGAGCGGAGCGGGGAAGGAGGGGGAGGGGCGGTTCAGCCAGACCAGGGGCGCCTCCCCGGCCTGGGAGCACGGATTTCGCCCGCCGGTGTTTTGCCACCGAGTGTCTCCTACAGGCCAGACTTCAGTCCCCGCTCGGGCCGTGTTGTCTGGGCCTTAAGAACTGAAAGCGCCCAGGCACCTGTGGACCACTAGTCCCTACAGGTGAGGCGGGCAACGGTGCGGAGAAACAACAGGGAGCCAACACAGGGGACAGTGCCGTTCGCTCCGCTTTTGTGGACATAGATTCACTGCAAATCCATACTAACCTACTGGGTGGGCCAAGAAGTTCGATGGGTTTTTTCCACAAGATGGCTCAAGTAGTGCGTAAAGGTCTTTAACTTCATTTGAAACAATTTCATTAGATTGTACTGTGACAGCGGTCCTATCAGTGCGCAATAAAAAAACTTACAACATTGGTGAATTCTTGTGCAGCCAACTTAGTACTGAAGATGGAAGAAAACAGGCAACATTTTCCGTGAATTGTGCTTTACGATTGATGTGGCCTCGCCCCCAGCGGTGCCGGGGCAGGACAGCACAGGGGCCTTCACGCGGCCACCGATGCGCCCACCCCCACGGGGCTGTCCCCGAGACCCACCGCGGCCGCCCCTCCGTGGGTCCCCGCGTTCGCTCCGGGGCCCGCACGGGAGCCAAGGGCGGGGAGACGGGCCGAGCGGAGCAGGGTTCCCGCGGGAGCGGGTCTGAGCGGAGCCGGCAGGGGCCTGCTCTCTGCTAATTCCAGGGCCCGGCGGCTCTGCGGGCTGGGAAGGGGGGAGGGACAGTCCACCCCGCGAGGCAGGAGCCGGGGGAGCCTGAGACTCCTCCTGTCGATGCCAGAGATTCCTGTGAGCGGGGGCCACCCCGGGCCTTGTGGGGACAGTGACAGGCAGAATGGCTCCTGTTGCTGTCAGGTGGGGGACACCCAGAGGAGAAGGAGGGGAAAACTCAGGCACCCACGCCACTCGGCCAGAAGGAAAGACGCAATAGTGGCATTTGTGACAGCGCGGGTGGGCCTTGGGAATATGATGCTGCGTGAAATAAGTCAGACAGAAACGAGAAGCACGTGATTTCACTCGCATGTGGGACATAAAACTGAGACTCGAGGACACGCACAAAGTGTGGGGTTCCCGGAGGGAAGGGGGTGGGGGAGGAGGGGTAGGGCACAGTGACAGAAGATGGTTTGATTTCGGGGCACACAGTGCGACATACGGATCCTGTGCCACAGACATGCACACCTGACATCTATGTGATCCTATTAATTAATGCCACTGCAACAAATTAAGTAACCTACCATACTAACTTATTTATTTATTTTTATTTTTTTATTTTATTTTATTTTTTTAATTAATTTATTTACTTTTTAAATACATATGTCTCTGCCTTCCCCCCACCTCTTTCCCTTGCCCCCCTACCATATTAATTTAATAAAAACTTTTATAGATTTTGTTTTAAAAAAGCAGCTACAATATCTAAAGAATGGAGAAATCACAAATGCCCAAAAGATGGGGGCTGCGGGCTAGTCCCAGGCCTGAGCCCAGGATGACGCGGCCCGTGAAGCCCTCACGGAGCTCCGCCCTGGAGCCACCGCAGGAACCGGGCGATGCTCTAGGCCGTGGTTTCTCAGGTCCTGAGGGGAGAAGGTTCTCCTGAAATGGCCAGAAGAGAAGCGCAAGACAGAAAGCCCAGCCGAGTAACGACCAGGATGGGGACGGCCTCGCCCCAGCTCTGCGGGGACAGGACAGTCCCCAAGGGAGAGGACGCAGGTCCCTGTGGGGAGGGTGGCCAAGTGTCCTTCTCCTCACTGACACTGGTGGAAACACTCGAGATCCATTGCCGCGTCCACACGCAGCCGGCGGGGGTTCCCGAGAGCCCAGGGACGGCCGCAGGGGCTGTTTCGGCACCAAGTCCGGACAAGGCAGCTGTGTCACGCAGGGGAAAAACGTTGTCGTGAGTGCATTTGGGTCACCCTCATAAGTATCACATGCTCCCACAGCCACCGCAGGCTCAGCACGTCCCACTCGGAGGATCCCCAAACCCGGCGGTGCCCCTTGGGCCCAGTGCCCCCGCGTCCTGCCCTCAGGGTCTCACCGTCAGCAGCTGTGAGAGACACCTCAGAGCCCTGGGCACGGTCTCCGCCTGGGGAAGGACACAGCAGAGGAGTCACGGGGTGGGGAGCCCCCTCCTAGACTCCCACCCACACGCTCCCCAGGGTCCCAGGCGTCCCCTCCCGACACCCAGACTGACAGGCAGCCTGAGCGCGGCTCTCCCCGCCTCTGCCTGTGGGAAGCAAACGCTCTGTGAGGGGTCGGGGCGAGGCTGGGTCCCGTGACCCTAAAGGAGCCCCACACTCCTGAAGCCCAGAGAAGGTTCCAGAACTGTGACTCAACACCCAGGGTAGGATCAGGAAACACAGGGAAAGCACATGTGCGGTGACGACTGAACCAACTGCCTTTCTGGCTATCTGTCCTCAGCAGGGACCTTCCCCTCTGACCGGTGACAGCTGGGAATCCGTCCCCATCGCTAGAGTCATCAGGTCAGAAATTTGTCCCTCACTTTCCCACGGGCCTCACTGAAGGGTCAGTGTTGGCAAACAGGCCCCCGATGGGCAGCACCCGTGTGGGTACAATGCCCACTCACGAGGCGGAGCACACGGCCACCTGGGCCTGACCCCCAGGGGGACAGGGACCTCGGCCCCACCCCTGCCCACCTGAGCGCTTCCTCCTCCATGTCACAGCTTTTGCGACCACAGCTCCAAGGTAAACCAGGACAGCAGCGATGCCCACGATGGGGACGGTGGTCCAAGGAGGGGGGTCTGCAAGGGGAAGGCGAGAGGCCACCCTCAGGCCCGAGTCCTGACCCCGCTCAGGGACGCCCTGAGGAGAGGCTCTGTGCCCACGCCCCCCCCTCACCCCATCGCAGGGTCAGGGGCTCAGGCAGCCCCGCGTGCCCCACGCGGCACGTGTAGCTCTGCTCCTGTCCAGGGGGCACGGCCACGGCCGCCCACGTCTGGAAGGTCCCGTCCCCCGCAGGCCTGGTCTCCACAGTCTCCGTGTCCTGGGGCAGGTCCTCCCCGTCACGCTGCCAGGTCAGGGTGATGTCCGCGGGGTAGAAGCCCCGGGCCCAGCACCTCAGGGTCACCTCACGGTCAGAGACGGGGTGGCGGGTGACGTGTGTCTTTGGAGGGTCTGAGGGGAGGGGTGAGAACATTCAGGGACTTTGCATGGTCAGGGGACACTCAGCAGTGGACCATGCAGACGCCAGCCTGGACAGAACCATCTGGGATAATCTATTTCTTGGAAAATTCCAGGATCGAGGGAGAATCTAGAGGAGGAATATTCAGGTCTCTAAGGGGAGACACAGACTTAGGTGGGGACCGAATGATTCAGAAAAGCCCCAGTCAGGCCTCCAGAGACGGGCTCAGCCCTCGAACCAGGGAGTGTGTCCCGGGCACCAGGTGGCTGCAGGGTGTGAGGGAACCGCTGTGGCTGTTTCAGGGAGAGGCTGGGTCCCTTACTGTCCTTAGAGACAGCTGGGCCCGCGGGGGAGGCACAGAAAAGGAAACCTGGGGGCCCTTCCCTCTCCCGAGCAGGAGGCGGATTCCGACACTGACCACCTCCCTCCTCTCCCTGTAGGAGCCGCCCCAGCCCGCAGACCCCTCCCCGGGGAGGCCCGCGCCCGGCACCTGCTCGGAGCAGCGTCTCCCTCCCCTTCTTCAGGAGCAGGCGGAGGCGCTGCACACACGTGTCAGCCAGGAAGACCCTCCTGACGTCCGCATCAGGGACCCCAACCAACTGGCTCCAGGTGACCTGGGCCGCCGTGTCGGCCGCGGTCCAGGAGCGCAGGTCCTCGCTCAGGGCGATGTAGTCGGTGCCGTCGTAGGCGAACTGACTGAACCCGCGGAGGAAGCGCCCGTCCGACCCCACGACGCAGCCGGTCATTTCCTGGAAGGTGTGACACCCTGACCCCGCCCCGGCGTCGTTCCTCGTTACTGCGCCCCAGTGGGTTCTCCCCTGCGGCGACCTTTGCGCTCCGGACCCGCGGTGACTAGAGGGAACAGGAACTGCGACCGGGCTTAGGCTTCATGCACGAGTGTCACGCTCAGTGCACTAAGGACTTAGGTCCTCGCTAGCGCCGCCCTTGTTGGGGGCCGGGCGGGTCCAGCAGCCTCTCCGGGGACCTCGTCCCGTCCGTGGGTGTGGGGGGGGGTCGTTCCCGGACCCGGCGCGCGCGGCTCACCGTCGTCGCCCTGGTTGTAGTGGGCGCGCAGGCTGTTCAGGGTCGCTCTGCTCCTTTGCTCCTGTCGCTTGATGCCCCGCAGGAAGTCGTCCCAGGCCTGCGGATGGTCCTGTCCCACCGGGTCCTGCTCCATCACCAGCTTCTCGTACCCCGCCCCCGGCAGCGTCAGCTTCGGGTTGCGGGCGTCGCTGTCGTACCGCGCGACCTCCGTGCCGTCCACGTAGCCGACCGCGATGTACCGGTACGTCCAGCGGCCCGGCCCGGACACGGCGGCGGTGAGATACCGGAGGGTGTGGGGGCCTGGGGAGGGGAGGACGCGCGTCCTGGGTCCGCGGTGGGGGCGGCGGGGGCCGGGGCCCGGGGGAGGGAAAGTGGGGCGGGGCCGAGGCTGGAATCGGGGTGTGGGGTCTGGGCGGGGGGTGCAGGGGACCCGCCGTCCCGGGGTCCAGCACCCTTCCCCCGTCCCCTCGCTCCTGCCCCGTGGGGGCCGTTCCCTCCCGACCCCGCACTCACCGGCCCAGGCCGCGGTCAGCGCCAGGGCCCCCGAGAGCAGCAGGAGCAGCAGGAGCAGCGGTCGAGGCCCCATGCCCGAGACCCTGAGGGTCTGGGCAGAATGCGAAGCGTTTCTCCGCCAGAACCCTGGAACCTCACCCGTGACGCTTGCCTAAAGCTGGTTCACCCAATGGGAATGAGACATGACGTGTCGTCATGAGTATCCGGGCGGGAGGAGCAGAAACAGGTAGTGAGAGGAAGAGGACTCGTCAACACTGAGAGGCCCCTCCGCAGTTCCGGTTCAGAATGAGACCCTGGAGCCAGACCCGGGACTCTGCCTCGCACCCCGTTCCTGCGCGGGGGTCTGCCTGTCCCGTGTCTCCCTGATCCCGGCCCAGGTGCTGTTTTATTCAGCGACTCTCAACTATTTTGGATTTCGAACATCTATACAGTTTCACAAAATAGGGAGGACGGTGCAGCCTCCCTGGTCATCACTAAATAATTTCCAGGTGAGCCCCGCTTGGGGGCAGCGTGCACCCGCCCCCCGCCCCCGGCTGCAGTTGAATCCTGATTGCTGTTGGCAATGGGAGGGATTTCACCCGGCTGATTGGCCAGACAACTGGCTGTGACCCTGGTGGAGTCGTGGTGCCCGCTGAGCCCGCCCCTGGAGTGTGTTGCTCTGGAGGTGCGGGGCCGTGCTTTGGTGTGGTCTGAGGCTGTCCACCGGGTGTGCTGGCTCTGGGGCCTCTCTGGAGGTGCAGGCCAACTGCAGCGCCCCCCTTGACCTGCCCAGGGCTACCTATCCCGGCCGGGAAAGCTTCTGCAGTTGGGCGCTACTTGTGCTGGGCTAGGAGGTGCCTGGGAGAGGCCAAGCGGCACACCAAGGCCAGTGCCGCTAGTGCTGGGCCCGGGGACGCTTGGCTGCAGAAATGGGTGTGCCCAGGCCAGATGCCGCATGTTCGAGACAGTTCAGGAAAGTCCGCAGCTTGAGCCAAGACTGGCTACATGGAAAAGTTACGGAAAGGGCCTGGCTGGGCTGCAAGTGGCACAGGGGCCTCAGAAAATCCCTAGGACGGGGTGAACAGGGTGCTCCAGGGTGATAGAAACTCAGCTATGGCTCCTGCCTGCCAGCTCTGAGGGGTGAGGGCTCAGAAAAGGAACAGTGGCCTCTGCCAGCACTTCTGTCTGGGAGAAAGCTGCCCCCTTCCACCCCCTCTGCTCTTGTCCTGATGCCAGACAGTTCAGTTCCTCTCATATGTCCCTGGTGCCTTTTGAGTTGCTGTCCCAGTGCTGGAGCTCAGGAGTGAGTCCAAGGGAGTCCATGCAGGGGCTTTGAAGAGGAACTTCCTGGGACTCCTGAGTCTCCGTCTCAGCCACAGTCCCTGCTGGTTTTTACAGGAAGAAGTTGTGGAGACCTGTGTTCCTGGCACTGGAACCCTGGGATGGAGGTCGAGTGTGAGACTGGGACCCCTCTCTCCTCAGGGGAACCTACACAGCTGAAATCTCTCTCCTGATTTTTGTCCCACACGTGGGTGTGGGACCAGTGCATTCTGGGTCTCCACCCCTCCTACCAGTCTCGCTGTGGTTTCTTAATCCTCTAGTTGCAGGACTTCTGTTCAGCTAGATTTCTGGTGGTTCTGAGTGGTGGGTGTCTATAGTGTAGTTGTGGTTTTGGGGTGAGATACTGTGTTTACCTACACAGCCATCTTGACTGGGAGCCAAGATAGTTTTTAAATGTTGATTTAAGGCTGATATAAACAAAGCTTTTTAAATCAATTACATGTGTGTCAATAATACACAAGTTTTGTGACACATGTATATTCACTGTAATAATTATAAAATATTAAAGTTGTGAATGAGAAGTTATCACTAAATAAAAGCTTTCACCTGTGCACATCAAGCCGAATCTAATGCTAACAGGAGTTTTCAGCAAAGTCAGTAAAGGCAACTGATTTGTGTCCGACCCACCCCCCCATCAATAAACATATCCTCAGGTGAAGATTAAAAAGACAAGTGTTTGCAGTAGCACAGTTTGCTTTGTTATGGCTGCAGCAGCCTCCTACACCTCCTGTTCACTGGCTCTCTTGATGGTGTCATTTTCTTCTTGTGTTGATTTAATCCCATGTTGTTTTGTTCAGTAACATGCCCTGCAGGCTCGTAGCCCAGAAGCCCAGGCTGCGCCCGGCAGCCCAGGGGAGCGGCAGCGGGTCCCCCCAGGTGTGAGCGCCTCTGTGCTGTTCGCACAGCGACAGAACCCACACCCCGCGTTTCCCAGGGGGGTCACCGTGGTCAGGCAGCACATGAGTGACTGTAAATGCATCAAGTAAACTCGCTGGACACTGTCGACTTACACGACGTTGTGTGTCAACTCTATTTTACTTTAAAAATGAATTTCACTGTGGATTTTATGTACAACACTGGCATTCAGCGAAGGGTTACGAAACAGTGTAAGTATATTCAGGAGATCCAGGAAGCTCAGAATGTCCCAAAGAAGCTGGACCCAAGGAAGCACACACCACAGCACATCACAACTAGATTACATAAGATTAAAGATAGAAGAGAATCCTAAAAGCAGCAAGAGAAAAGGAGACAGTTACCTATAAAGGAATTCCCATAAGACTATCAACTGATTCTCAAAAGAAACCTTGCAGGCAAGAAGGGGCTAGAAAGACATATTCAAAGTCATGGTGCCCTTCTCTTAAATGCCACAGTGCTTGCTGCGATGCCCTGGGTCTTTTAAGCCTAGAGAATTTCCCTTTGACCCTAACCCACCTCAGAATCCCTGGGTGTCCCTAATGTGTACATGACCCCTCAGGAGGTCACGACAAAGTCCTCCGCAGAATCCCCAGGGGACAACCAACCAGATGTCCTCCTTCCTTTTTTTGTGAATTTGCCCTGGAAGACATCTTCCTGGTGTACAGACAGGATTCAGGGGAAAGTAGCACATTGGACAGACAGAGTGATACCATCAAAACTCTTTAACATTGAGAAAATGGTGAAAGAATGGTTAGAAAATTGGGTAAAATAATAAAGAGAAAATTCACAAAATAAATGGAAGGGTGATCCTGAATCACAGAAATGTTAACTATGGCAAGTGTCTCAATTCATTTTTTATCAGATTGGTTGAGTCTTTTTCTTTTTTCATTTTTGTACTACTTTTTACAAATTTTACTTTATTTTAGAGAGAAAGGCAGGGAGGGAGGAAGACAGGGAGAGAAACATCCACGTGTGAGGGATACATTGATTGGTTGTCTCTCACACGCCCCCTACTGGGGAACCTGGCTCTGCAACCCAGGCATGTGCCCTGACTGGGGATTGAACAGGTGACCCTTTGGTTCACAGGCTGGCCCTCAATCCACTGAGCCACTCCAGCCAGAGCAATACTATTTTTAGAATAAGCTTTCCAGTATCACCAATGGCAGCAATAATATCAACAGGATGGGATTATTATTACCATTTGTCAACTATTTAGATCAACTAGGGGCATGAGTAGAAGCAGAGGGTATAGGAGAAATCTTTGTATCTTTCTCTTAATTTTACCATCAACCTAAAACTGCTCTGAAAAGTAAATTCTATTAAAAATGTTTAAATTACACTCAACAAAATAAAAATCATATAGGGTCAATAAGGCATAAATATTCTAGGTAGAGGCAAAGGAGAAACAGATGATGTTTAATTATGACAGTGGGGTACTTATGTATGTTTGAAAAAGAAAATATTAAATTAGATGCATTTGAAAAAGAATACTGAACTTTTAAAATTATTTATTGGTGGGTTTTGAGGGAGGGGGAGAGAGAGAGAGAGAGATTGATTTGTTGTTCTACTTATTTCTGCATTCATTGGTTGACTCTTGTATGTGCCCTGACCAGGGATCCAACCCAAAACCGCGGAGCATCAGGATGGCACTCTTGCCAACTGAGCTACCTGACCAGGGAATACTGGATTTTTAAAACGCTATTACATCCTTGGCTGGTGTGGCTCAGTGGATTGAGTGCCAGCCTGACAACCAAAGGGTCGCTGGTTCAATTCCCGGTCAGGGCACAGGCCTGGGTTGCAGGCCAGGTCCCAGTAGAAGGCGCACGAGAGACAACCACACATTCATGTTTCTCTTCCTCCCTTTCTCCCTCCTTTCCCCTCTCTCTCTCAAAATAATTAAGTAAAACCTTTAAAAACATAAAATAAAACGCTATTACAGTGTCATACCCCAAAGGATGAGTGGAGATTTGGGAATGTAATGGTTATTACACTAGAAACTGATGAAATCTAAATACGGGAGGGTTAAGTCTTCCTTACGTCAGAGTGAAAGGCCCCTGATATCTGCCCTTAAATTTAAAAGTCAAGCATCTGTAATTGAGCAAAGCTTCCTCTGCTCCGTACTCAACGATGCCTAAGAGTTCCACACATCAGAGCTCGTGGAGGCGGGACAAGGGGAAGGCAGGGACAGTGCCCACGGATGCGGTGGTGGGGGCTGCAGCCCCTCACTGGGGCGCAGAGCAGGGGGAAAGGGCAGGAGCACATCGCTGCCCCAGAATCCGCCCCCGCTGCGCACCCCGTCACGGCCGGACTTGGAGCAGCAGTAGAAATGTGTCCAGCAGGGGTGCCCCACCTGTGGGCGTCTCTGGGCCACACTGGAAGAAGAAGAGTTGTCTTGGGCCACACGTTAAATACATGGTGACACATAATCACAGAAAAAAAGTCTTATAATGTTTTAAAAATAGATTTACAATTTTGCGAATGCGTTGGGCCGCCTTCACAGCCATCCTGGGCGGCAGGCAGCCTGGGGCCTCGCGTTGGACGCCCCCGGGCCTCTGACGGCAGCGCCGGGGCGCAGGAACACAGGAGCAGCGCCGCCCGCTCACCCGCCTGGCTCCCCCAACCTGCACCCCCCCCCGCACCCCCTCTCTGGCCAGGGTGCTGAGGCACCACCCACCCGCCCGGTCACCCAGGTATCCAGCCGCCTGATCACAAAGGCAGCCTCCCCCGCCGCGGCCCTCGGAGCAGGTCAGAGAAAACAAACCTGCCCGTTGGTGGACCGGTGGGTAAGACGGCTGCGGCCCGTACACACGATGCAACGCTGCGCGGCGGTGAAGGAGAAGGAACTCTTACCTCCCGCGTCAGCCTGGATGGACCTGCACAGTGTTGGCTCAGGGAAATCAGCCAGTCAGAGAAAGACGAGGGCCATGCGGTTTCCCTCGTGCGGAACCTAATGAACAAAATAAACTAACAAACAAAATAGAAACAGACGCGTGTAGGTACAGAGGACAGACTGACAGCTGTCAGGGGAGGGGGGATTGGGGCCTGGGGGAAGGAGGTGAAGGGGTTAAAGAAAAAACCCTCACAGACGCAGACACCCGTGTGGCGCTGCCCAGAGGAAAAGGGGCGGCGGGGGCAGGGGTGAGGGTAAAGCGGGGTCAATGGTGGCGGAGAGACTCTTGATGTGGGGTGGTCAGCACACAGCACAACATACAGATGATGTGTTATAGAATTGCACCCCAGAAACCTATATAGTTTTGTTCACCAATGTCATCCCAATAATCAATAGATTTTTTTAAAAAAATGATATGTACTCCTATGTTCAGTACCACGTTATTTACAATAACCAAGGCATGGAAGCCCCCTAAGGGTCCGTCAGAGGAGGAATAAAAAATACGTGGTGTGTGTGTGTGTGTGTGTGTGTGTGTGCCGGATGGGGCGGAAGTCAGTTTACAGTGGTGAGGCCGGGAAATATACAGTTTAATCTTATATTTGTTCATTATTATATTTTCCATATGAACAACTGTAAACCTATTTTTGCCCTACTCTGTATATATGTACATGTATTCATACACACACACACACACACACACAGTGAAATATTTGGACATAAAAAAGATAAAATATCGTCTTGGACAGCATGAACGGCTCTTGAGAGCATTGCGCGAAGCCAAAGAAGTCGGATATGGAAAAGGACAAAAAACCATATTATCCACTCACGTTTGGACTATACAATTAAAAAAAAAAAAGGAACAACAGAACTAACAAAACAAACTCACAGATACAGAGAACATGAGAGGAAAGGCGTGGGGGGGGGGCCAGCTTGGCAAAGGAGGTCCAACATACGGAAACCGGGGGAACCGAGGCTTTGGGTGCCGAGCACACAGTAGAGTATGCAGATATCAAGTTATAATGTTGTACACCTGAAAGGCACTTAATGTTATTAACCAATGTCGCCTCAATACATTTAATTTTTAAAAATCTACCTTGCCCTGGCTGGGTGGTTCTGTTGGTAAGAGCATTGTCCCGGACACCAAAAGGTTGCAGGTTCAGTCCCCAGTCAGAGCACATACTTTAGGTTGTGGTTCGATCTCCAGTCAAGGCACATATGAGAGGCACCCAACTGATGTTTTTCTCTCTCTCAAAAAAAACAAAACAAAACCAATAAACACCCTCAGGTGAGGGTTTTTTAAAAATCTAACTTTACACAGTCAAATGAAAAATGGAACGTTTGGGGGCTGTTGGATGTAGTGATAACAATAACATCTGAAATCTCTGGATACATCCCAGCGTCACCCCCAAGTCAGGAGGGAGAGAGCGTGGCAGCTCCCTCTGGCCCAGGCCCCTGCAACCCAAGACATGAACGAAGACAGCAAAGGTGTGCTTTCCAAAGTGCGTATCCCTTTAATGAATTTGCTCTAAACATCACAAGGTAGGGTGGGCGTCTGGGGGGCGGGGCAGAGGCCCCGCAGACAGCGTGTCCGCAGACACGTTAACTAGGACCCTGTGGAGGAGCCGCTGTGCATGCACGGCCCCCACCGCCGGGACAGGCCGTTTCCGGAACTGCATGTGCTGGGAGAGAAGGGGCCGTTGTGACCAAGGAGAAGCCTCTGGGGGGGCCTCCTGGAGGGTGTCCCTCGTCAGATGAGCACGCCTTCCATCCTGCCCTCTTCAGTCTCCCAAGGTTGGTGTAAAATGCTCAGGTGGGGTTTTTTCTCCTCCACAGCTCTCAGCAGCAGCTGAGTTTCCCCGTCAAACGCGTACTTGTCGAGCCTGGGAAGACAGAAACGTTTGGCACCTCCCCACCCGGACGCCCTTCCTCCCCGGAAATGACGGGGAGTGTGGTGTGAAGGCGGGGGGGAGCGTCACAGCGACGACCCTTCTCGTTCACCCAAGAGCGGGCACGTGGAAGGGTTTCTAACATTCGCTCTCAGATGCCCGCTCTCTATGCTCTAAGTGCAAATATAACGTTTGGGACCATCCTAACCACGACACCTGCCTCAGGAACGGACCTCTGCCCGCCTGTTTCTAGAACTCCTCCCAAATCTGAGCTGGGAATGTATCTTTTTGGGCAATGTAAGTAGAAGATGCTATTTCTACAACAGTAAGGAAGTGTTCTTGCAAGGGACAATCGTGCCCTCAGGGGATCTTTGACAGTGTCTGGAGACATTGTCTTTAATTTCAGGGAATGAATGCGATCGCCGGTCTTTTTAAGATGCATGAGTTTTTGTTGCAATGTGACCGACACAGAACGCTGCAAAGTTTAAGGTGCACAACGCGCTGGTTCGCTCCTTCTGTGTATTGCAATATGATGGCCTTCATTCACGTCACAAAATTATCGTTTCTTTCTCGTGGCGAGAATGATGAAGGTTGAGTCTCTTAGCAGCCTTGAAGATTCCGTGTTTGATCATCAGGGCTGGAGGGAGGGGCTACGGGCAGGTTACGTGCAGAGAGAGACCGGGGCGCAGCTTGTGATACTGCACGGCAGCGAGGAACCCTGCAGGCCGACTATCGATGGCACCGAGGCCCAGCCAACCCCCCCCCCCCCCCCCCCCCAGTAAGCGCACGTTGCCCCGAGATCGCTCACCACCAACACTCACCCGAGCAGCTGCAAGGCACAGTCCGGGTGGCTCAGCGCTTCACACAGCACCTCCACCCCGTCGTGGTCCAGGCTGTTCCCGTCCAGGTTCAGGGCCTTCAGGGTCTTGCAGGCAAGGAGTGCCGAGGCCAGGTCCTCGCAACAGGCAGCGGTGAGGTCGCACATGTCCAGCCTGCAACAGGGAAGCACCCAGAGGGACCGCGGCAGCTTTGGTGGCCTGGAAGGCACGCCATCGTGAGACGCCAGTTTCAGGCCCCTGAGCAGGGTATCTGAGAGTTCTCTGCTGCAGGCATTGTGTCCCCTGGGGGACATGTGGCAATGTCTGGAGATACTCCACGCAGCTGGGGACGCTACTGGCAACTCGTGGGTAGAACGAGGCCACGGATGTGGCTAAACATCCTATAACGCACAGGACCGTCCCCACCTCCCTATCACGGCAAAGAACTATCCAGCCCCAAGTGTCAAGCATGCCAAGATGGAAGGACCGTGGTTTCACACGACAGCATTGTACTTAAATGATTCCAGACACACTTGCCGTGGACCCTGCGTCCCCGCTGCCCCACCCCTCCTCCCGCTTGTGTGTGCCGGGCCCGGAAGCAGGGGAGCCTCCCCGTGCTGGCGCTCGGGAACCACTCACCCAAGACTCTCCAGTTTACAGTTGGGATGCCTCAAAGCGGCACACAGCTTTCTGACGCCAGCATCTTCTATTCTATTGTCCTTCAGTTTCAGGGTTTTCAGGTTTGTGTGGCTAATAAGGAGGTTGGAGAGGGCCTCACAGCAGGCAGGAGTGAGGTAACAACTTGCCAAGCTGGGGAAACACACACACACACACACACACACACACACACACACACACACACAGATACAGCCATGAGATCCCACCGTTGCTGCCTCTGCTTATTTTTCATTTATTGATATGAAGGATGCGACGCCCAAGTTCTTCCGAGAGGGTGATGGTGGTGGCGATCGTGGCAGCGGTGAGGCTCCGACCTTCTCGGGTCCTCCTCCGCAGCCCCACACGGGGCCCCTGCTACTCTCCTGCCCTTGTGGTCTGTCTGCCCCGATTGTTCTCGCTGGGTGGGATGCTCGTGACGCAAACTCCAGCGGGGCCACCCCTCCCACGCCCGTCATAGCTCTGCACCGGTGTCGCCTTCCGCTGAGGACTTCCCTGAATGTTTTATACAATATCATGTCCCAGGCTCTTTGCTGCATTTAAGCTCATGGTTCCCCACAGAATGTATCGCCCACTAACACGTGTGTCTGTGCACACAGGCACACGTAGCACATGTGTGTATGCGTATATATGCTGTCTTATGCATACATGTGCATGGATATAGACATACATATAGGCACACACGTTATATACGCATATATGTATATGTCTGATGTGTGTGTGTGAGTGCTGTGTGTATGCAGGTCTGTGATTCTTAAGCAGGGATGATTTTTGTCCACCCCCTCCCAGGGGACATCGGCAATGCCAGGAGACGTTTTTGGCTGCCACACTAGGAGACAGGGCTCTACCAACACCTAGCGGATGGAAGCCAGGGATGCTGTTCAACACCCTACAAAGCACAGGACACCTCCTGCCCCCAACTGGGCCAAATATCAATAGTGCTGAGATGGAGAAACCACATCATATGTGCACTTACAACCTCACACTCATGAATGTGTGCATGTGTGTCTGCATGTACGTGAAACGTCATGAAGTCAACTTACATGGAAACAGGGATGTTGGAGCATTTCATTTGCCACTTCCCTCGCCCACCCAAGAGAGGCTCCAGCACGCTCAGGAGGAGCGGATGATCCTCAGGCCGCACTTGGGGTGAGGTGAGGTGCCCTCGCAAGCTCACCCGACTAGTCAAGGGCACGGAGGGCTCCATTTCCGGTCTTCCTGAGACCAGAGACCCAGCTACCGAGTGGCATGTCCCAGAAGTCCTGACTCGTCCTTTAATTAGGACAGACACACATCAGAGCACCACTGGGCACTCCTAGGTGTACGAGGTGCGGTCAACGCTTAACCTCGCTTTTCCCAGCAGACCTCATGCCTTTCCCCTTCCGGTTCCCTTTTCAGGGTGTCAGTGTCAGGAAGGAAGGGAGGAAGGAAGGGAGGAAAGGAAGGGAGGGAGGGAGGAAAGGAGGGAGGAAAGGAGGAAAGGAGGGAGGGGGAGGGGGGAAAGGAGGGGGAGGGGGGGGGGGAGGGAGGGGGAGGAAAGGAAGGAATAGAAAAGTAAGCCAGAGTAAATCATAGCCACACCTACCACAACTGCTGTAAGATGCAGCTTGGGTACCTCAGTATGCTACAGAAATACACCACGCCCTCGTCTTCCAGGGTATTGGAGCCCAGATCCAGAAGGGTCAGGGATTTGTTGAACAAAAGGGCTTGGGAGATGTAGTCGCACGAGACAGAGGTGAGGCAACAGAACTTCAATCTGCAAAGAGAGACACACACTCAGTTTGTCAGCCTGCTTGGACTCCATGTGGTTATAGCTTCCCGAAGCCACATGCAAAAACTTGATCGTTCCTCCTACTCCGTGGTTACTGGAGAGAGATGAGAGGATTAAAATGCGCAGCCGCTGCACAAATACAGATGCAGGAATGTGAAGACGGCATCCCAAACTGGGGGACAGAATCTAGGATTCAGCTCCAGGGCAGGGCACCACTGCAGCTGGGGGACCTCAGACAAAGTCACCCCTCGTCTGCGACGCAGCGTGCTGACTCACCTAGTGGGGTGTGCTGGACCACACCCTATTTAACATGATTTTTCTTTCAAAAGTATTATTTAAAACTTAATTGTGTGATGACGAGCTCCTGTGTATGCGCTGTTGGAAATGTGGAATATAACAGAGAGCGTAAGAGAGGTCACTTCCTGGTAGTTCAGAACTCAGTACGACATCCTGAATGTATTTGGTTTAGTTGGCATCATGTTTAACATTTTTCAAAAATGTTAAGTAGAAGTTACCCTGGCGGGGTGGTTCCGTTGGTCGGAGTGGCCTCCGATACGCCAAGGTTGCGGGTTCGATCCCCGGTCAGGGTGCATACAAGAAGCAACCAGCGAATGCATCAATAAGTGGGACAACAAAAATCACTGTGTCTTTCTAAAATCGATCAATGTACAAAATCTTTTAAACATAAGAAAAACGGTTTGGTTTTCATGTTTACTGTTCCTGACATTTAATTTACGGTTCAGCTGCTTTTACAGCCTGAAAAGTCACCTCAGTAATACTACTCTGGCCCTCCTCTATTTTCAGTGCCATTTTGTGTCTGCGTGGTGCTCTGCACGTGCCTGCACACGCGCGCACACCTGAGCACACGCAGGCCGAAGTTTTGCTTCCGCCATGACTCATCCGCTCCCACGGACGTGGCTGTCCCTGCCCCCCCTTTAAGGCACCGCAGCGCACGGACCCAGGGACAACACGGGGCCCCTGGAACCCTGTACCCGAAAGAAGTCCCGCGAATCCCTTTTTCGGGCCGAGTGACACTCCCGCCTCCCCAGCGCCCAGGACGCCTGCGGACACAGCACCCTCCGCCTTGACGACGACGATTTGCGGGGCTGCAAATTCAACGCCAGGCACCTGAGAGCCTCGCATCTCTTCATTCAGCCTCATGGCGCCTCCAGGGCGCCGCGTCCCAGCCCCTCCGCCAGCGTTTGCCCGCTGAGCGCCCGCGAGCGCCCCCGCGAGGCCGACTCACAGCAGCGTCTCCAGGCCGCAGGCCCGGTGGCCGAGGGCGTCGCACAGCGCCCGGGCGCCGTTGTCCGTCAGCGGGTTCTCCACCAAGGAGAGCAGCTTCAGCTTCTGGTTGCAGACCAGGACAGAGGCGATATCTGCGCAGCCCTCCTTGGTGATGTCGCACTTCCCCAACCTGCGTGGGGGGTCCGTGTCAGGGTGCGGGCAGGGCTTACGGGCAAACAGGCACAGACTCGCAGACACGAGGACAGACTGGGGGTGGCCAGCTGGGAGGGGCCTGGGGGACGGGGTAAAAGGTGAAAGGCCGAGCCAGAGGACGGACATGCACAACCTATACACACGGGCGGGCGATAACGTGGTGACGGCCCAGGGGAAGGGGGCGGGGGCTGGGGGGAGGTGGGCGAAGGGGGGACATCTATAATGATGTCAACAGAAATAAAGTTAAGGAAAAAAAACCTCTTGAAACTGAAAAAACAAAAAACAAAAAAACGTAACGCATTGGTGTTTACAAAACGCTCATAGGAATGTGAAGCCCAGCACAGGGGGTAGAGTCGCTAAAGTCGGGATAACTGCAGAAGGTGCCGGGTGGGTATAGAATTATCAGGGGGATCACTTCAGGAGTTATATAAATGTCTAATCACTGTGCTGTACAACTGACACTAATGTACTATTACTGTATGCCAAGTGTCATTGAAAAAAATAATTTTTGAATTGGCCCGAGCCTTGGCCGGTGTGGCTCCGTTGGTTGGAGCATCGTCCTGAACGGAAAAGTCACGCGGGCTGCATCCCCATCAGGGCACATGCGTGCGTTGCAGGTTCTATCCCTGGCTGGGGCGTGTTTGGAGGCAACCGATCAATGTTCCTCGCTCACATGGATGGTTCTCTCCCCTTCTCTCTCCCACCCTCCCTCCCTCCCTCTGTCTCTAAATATCAATGATCATGTCCTCAGGAGAGGATTACAAGAAAAAAAAAATTGGTCGTGGACCACACGCTGGTTTTGGGTCTCCTACCGCCCAATCCAATGTCCACATTCCACACTTTTTAAAAGAGCAAATACAATCCCATAACTCTCCTTATTAACCTTTGATTGCTTTCCACTGAAGTTAGGACACAGTCTGAGCCAGCGGTTCTCAGTAGGGGTGACTGTTGACTTCCAGGGGACATTTCTCGGCGTCTGGAAAGGGTTGCGGTTGTCGCATCTGGGGTGAGGGACGTTAACTGCCATCTCGTGGGTGGAGGCCGGGCACGCTGCTCAACATCCACTGTTGTGGGCAGCCCCCACCACAAAGGATTCCCTGGGACTCAATCTGATTACCTGATTATTTGTCAATAGTTCTGAGGTTGAGCAACCCCCGGTCTCAGCCCTAATGCGGCTTCAGAAAAGCATCTCATGGGCCAGAGCTGGTTTCTCATCACGCGCTTTGTTGTGGGAACCGTCCCATCCATTGCAGAAAGTTGAACAGCATCCCTGGCCTCCCACCACTAGATGGGAGTAGCACCCTCCCCATGTAGTTGCGACCTTCAACAACATCTCCAGTCCTGGCCAGATGGTTCAGTTGCTTGGAGCGATGTCCTGTACACCAAAGGGTTACAGGTTCTATCCCCGGTCAGGGCACATACCTAGGTTGCAAGTTTGATGCCTGGTCAGGGCGTGTAGGGGAGGCAATAGGTCAATGTTTTCCTCCAATATTGATGTTTCTCTTTCTCTTTTTCTCCCTTCCTCTCTCTCTAAAATCAATAAACATATCTTTAGGTGAGGATTTAAAAAAAATGTTTTGAGACACCGACATTTCCACGGGGACAAAATTAGCCTTTTTTGAGAACTACTGGGCTAGAGAAACTGGGTACTGAGGCTCTTTCACCCTCATTACCAAATGGAAGGCAAGAGAACAGTCAGTCTGCCCGGAGAGGCAAAGCTTCTAGCTACAATATCTACACAACTCAATCCTATATCCGATGCCCAATACTTAGGTGGACAGATAATACATAAAAAACCCTATGCATGTTAGTGTCAATAATTTAAAAAATTTTTAAACCGCATGCAAATGGCATAACATGAAATGGGGCAAACTACTCAGGATTTCTGTCGCTTCCCATTGAGTAGAGAGCGCTAGAGTTAAAAAAAATTGTTATAATACGGAAACACCTCAAACGATGACTAGGACCCACAGTAAGCCTAAATGTTCAAACAACTCTTATGCATGGAACCTGCCTTCTCCTCCTGGTGAAGCTTGACAGCACCATTAACCGATTGCACGTGAATCCATTGTACCTGCCATCGTTACCGCAAAGAAGGGATGGGGCACTGAGAGGAGAGAGCATGCGTTCCTGGTGGGCTTCAGGAGCTGGTTTTGTTTACTGCTACCTCTACTACTTCCCTTTGTTCTTTCTGCTGGAAAAAAAAAATGGGCGGAGCCTTTCTAGAAGTCACCCAATGAGGGCGGAGGCATCCCAGATCCTTTTTTATGTACTTTTTTAATCCTCACCTCAGGATGTGTACTGATTTCAGAGAAAGAGGGAGAGAAACATCGATGTGAGAGAACAACATCAATCGCTTGCCTCCCGTACACACCCTGAGGGGGGACCGAACTCGCAACCTAAGTATGTGCCCTGACTGGGGACCGAACCCGCAACCTTTCAGTGTACAGCATGACACTCCAGGCCAACTGAGGAACCCGGCCAGGCCCAGGTCGTTTTTAAGAGGAAGAAATGGTTTTAGGCCAAGCAATCACTTCCTCTCTGTACTCAGTATCGTCGTCATCAGCCAAACTGGACGATCACGCTCGTGGCCATTATATGCTTTCTCGTCTTACGTTTCTACTAATATCTTCAAGGGGAGATGTTTGGGGTTCTGGTTCTGGCACGGTTGGTTGAGGGCGGAAGCAGGAAGAGTCACATGAGCTGTTAAGTCAGCAAGTAACGCAGAAGACAAGGGTGGGACGGGCCTTCTGAAAGGCCACCTTGCCCGCGAGGCTCCATCCCCCCGGGCCTGGAAGTCTACAGGCCCTGAGACGGGAGCGATGAAGAACACGCCAGGCAAAGGCCGACGCAGGAATGGAAGTGCGCACGGGGGAACTGCCAAGTCCACACGGAAAGAAATACGTCCTTCACCCCAGACAACACAGAGACTCACATCAGCTGTTGTATGTTGCACATGGGGTGTTTCAGCGTCTCGCACAGCTTCCTGACTTCCGCACGGGACAGGTTGGTGCCATGCAGGTTCAGGTATGTCAGGTGCGGGTTGTGAAGAATGGCCTTGAAGAAGTCTACATCATTTCCAATGTTGGAAGCATACATATACCTACAACAGATGAGGTATTAGAACCCACGCGATGAAGTCGAAGCACCAAGCAAGGTACCTCTTACCCGATTCGGCCCCCTGCCCTCTGCTACGGCTTATGACACTGCTCTAGAGAAATCTGGTCACTCCCACCTGTAAACTTTTTTCTCTAGGAAACTTTGGGCAGCAGACAAGCACTGAGGCTCCACCGCGTGGGTGTTTCCTGTTTGCTCCTGGTTCCCCCTCACCCACGTCACCACCCACACGGGAGGGGAGGGGACAGGCCTGCAGTGAGTTCTCAGCACCACGAGGACAGAGACACCATGTCTGTGCCTCTCTGTGCGTCCCTAGGTCTAGAACAGCACCTCGCAGCCACCGCTGAACTAATGCTCCAGGCAACTGTGTTCCAAAGGAATGGGGCCATTTCACGTTAAAAACTAAGATTTTTTTTTTTACAAGGAGATCATTTTTAAAAAATAAATGAAAATTACACAATAAAAAAGAGACAATACATGGAGAGTTTTTGCTTTTTTCCCCCTGGATAGCTCTGCAGGGTTGGGCAACTTCATTTCATGAAAGACATAGAGGGTGTTATGATGGTTAAGAAATTAATATTTATTGTCGTGCCTGGAACATGGTCAGTGCGGCTTGGATTTGATTTCTTTGAATCCTATTATATCACATTTAAGTGTATCCACATACACTTCTTGTGTATTTATCCACCTACATGTTTTTTATAGTTTTGTACATCCAACTCACACCAACTTCTGCAGTTTGCAAGCGGGCTGAGCGAGGGCTTTCCAGAGGATCGTGTGGGAGGCGTCGTTGAAAATGCAGTTTTCCATGTCCAGGATCTGAAAGTCCCTGCTGGTGGTGAACACTGAGCAGATGTCCCGCCAGTAGGACAGTTTCTGGCTGTTATTGTGAGGGGACAGACACTGTGATCCTCTAGTGGCCACATTCAACTCAAGACACTCCCAGAACAGGGAGAGCTCTGTCCCCACGGCCCCTCCACGCTGATGGACACCCAGGCCTGAAACTGAGTCAACACGGCACGGTGGTTGAGAGAGTGACCCCTGAGGACACAGCGATGGGGTCAAACCCTTGTTAGCTACGTGGCCTGAGCCAGCTCGTCCCTCTTACTCTGCCTCCATGTCCTCCTCTTTTAGGGGACAATACTTGATGGTTATGAACAAAGGCTGGTTTGGGGGGATCCATCAATGAACGGGCAATTGTATCCCAAAACACGACCATACAGGTGTAGAATAAGCAAGCCCTGGGTTGCCGCGTGCGGCACGATGACTATTGTTAATACTATGTGGCCGTGGCCGGATAGCTCAGTGGGTTAGAGCGTCATCCTGATGCGTCAAAGTGGCAGGTCCAGCGTCAGGTCAGGACACATAAACGTCAAGCAATGAGTGCAAAATAAGTGGGACAACAAAATCGATCTCTCTCTCAAATCAATAAATGAAATTTAAAATAATAATAATAATGTATTGTGTATTTAAAGTTGCTAAGAAAGTAAGTCTTAAATGCCCTTATCACAAGACCAAAAAAAAAAATCTAACTACCCTACTTCGCCCACATTTTGTGCACACTATGCACGAGACTGACACCCACTGCTCTCCCCATGGAATGCGATCATATGTCTGTGTATGATGCGCACCCTTATTTTTCCCTAAAGGATTTGGGCCAAAAAGGTGCACCTTATACATGGCAAGACACAGTATGTATGGTGATGGCTGTAAACTAGATTTGTGATCATTTCCCAATACATACAAACATTGCATCATTATATTATACACCTGAGGCCAATATAATGTTACAGGTCCCTTGTACCTCAGTTAAGATTTTAAGTTTTCTTGCTCTGGCTGGTGTGGCTCAGTGGATTGAGCGCTGGCCTATGAACCAAAGGGCTGCTGGTTCGATTCCCAGTCAGGGCACACGCCTGGGTTACAGGTTTGGGCCCCGGTCAGGGAGCGTACAAGAGGCAACCGATCAATGTTTCTTTCCATCTCTCCTTCCCGCCCTTCCCCCTCTTCCAGATTAAAAAAAATTAGTAAGCTTGTCCTCAGGTAAGGACTAAAACAAACAAACAAACAAACACCAAAACCAAAAAAACCCCTTCCTTTCAACCTCACTTTGTCCCTGTGAAGTAGCTGAAACATTCATCCATGCTTATACGGATAGAAAACCTTCATAAATCACTCACTGTCCATGGTCAAATAGCCAGCAAATTTGATTACAGAAGCTATGTTTTATAAGTAAATATAAGGACCCATGCAGCTCCTGGGGGTGGGGGGGGCAGGCCGCAGCCATGGCAGGGGAGGGGAGGGCACACACAGATGGACTTACTGTAAGCTGGGTCCGGGGTCGTCGGAAAACACATATTCTACCGTCAGGTGAAGCTGCTGCAAACTGTGCGCATGTTTGAGGCAGAAAGCCGATACTATCAGATCGTCCATGTTGCTGATGTACATGTTAACGTCTTCGAAGAAATTCATCACCTGTGCTGTAAATCTGTTGTCCTGGGTCTCAAATAAACTGTTGAACAGCTCCGGAAATCTCACCACGACCTGACTGTCCTCGCCCTGACTCAAACGCTGAAGGCTCTCGGCTATTTCCAGCTGGATCTCCCTGGACAGAGGGAAAGCGAAGGTGGTCTCCAACATGGAGGTCATTGTGGCCCCCGACAGCCCAAACAGGAAGAGCCCCGCCTGCTGCAGGTAGGTCGGGGCCAGCGTCACCATCGCCTCGGTGAGCTGGGCCACACCTCGGATGGCCGGGTGAGGCAGGTCCTCGGGCCACCTCAGCAGATACCACAGAGCGGCACAAAACGCCTGGACGCACACGTGGGGGAAGGCGAACCGGTCCCCGTTCCTTCGCAGCAGCCCCATGTCGGCCCACATCGAGGCGTCGGGTTCCGAGACCCCGTTCCTCTGGAGGTGCCCGAGCTGAAACGCGAGCGTGTCTGTCCAGATGCCTTCTGCGGCCAAGGCGCACAGGCCCTTGAGCCGGGCCCTGCCCTGCCGCGGCGTGTAGTTCTGAAGCCCTGATCTGAGCGCGCTGATGAAGAAGGAGGAGTACAGAGCAGTGCTGCTCACGGAGGCTATGGCGAGGTGCTCCCCTCTCTCCAGCTGCCCCTTCAGGCACGAGCACACCAGCCAGCACCCGAGGGGGTACTGGCATAGCAGGAACAGCCGGGGCTGGTCTCTCACGAAGCTGAAGGCCCTGGCGACCTGCTGCTTCTCCCTGAAGAAGTGGGAGAAATACTGCTTCCTTGCGTGTGCAGAGAGCCCTTGCAGCACTATGTACTGCGGATACTGCAACAAGTAGAAATATTTTCTCATCCCCGTCATGCCCAGCGCGAGCAGCAGAGAAGACTCGGGGAGCACCCTCCTCCGCAGCAGACTGCCCAGGACAACCGGCGTTGGCTGCCGCTGCCTCCAGTCACTGCACAGGTTGTCAAGGTCCACGTGAAATTTCAGCTCCTCGAAGCCATCCATCAGGAAGAGGATTCTCTGCGGCTGGGAGAAGATGTCCTCGATGGGCTCTGAGGACACGGGCCAGTCCCCAGAGAGGAGCTGCACCAGGCTCGTCTCTGCGATACTGTTCATCTCAGAGACGCTGAGGAAGAAGACAAACGTGAACCTGCCCTTCCATAAGTTGCCCTCTGCCCATTCTAACATCATTCTCCTCAGAAGCGTTGTCTTTCCCATGCCTCCCTTGCCATGCAGGACCACGGTGCCCGAGGGCTCCCCGGCCTCGCCGGCCGTGTACGCATCGCTCAGTAGTTCGTATTCCCTTTTTACGGAGCTTTTGTAGAACTCATCGGGCACTGGGAGGCAGGTTTCCTTTTCCCACACGCGACGGAATTTTTCCTTCATGTGACTTCTATATGGGTTGAACTTATCTGAGTTAACAGGGACAGAATACAAGACAATTTTTAAAAAAAAATCCACCCACAATAGCTAAGAGAAGGAAGGACAGGATGTGGAATGTGTGTCCCATGTATACGTGGAATACTACACAGCCGTTAAAAAAGATGAAATGTAAGTGAAACCCTATGGTGTTTGTCTTTCTCTGTCAGACTTCACTTAGCATCATACCCTCTAGATCCATCTATATCTCTGCAAATGGCAAGATTCTATTATTATAGCTGAGTAATATTCCATTGTAGATGTGCACCACTTCTTTATTCATTCCTCTATCTTTGGACACTTGCGTAACTTCCATATCTTGGCTATTGTAAAATGCTGCAATGGATATAGGGGCGCATATATCTTTTTGAACTAGTGGTTTTGTTTTCTTTGGATTCACATCCAGAAGTAGAATTGTTGGGTTATATACAAAACAAACACACAAATGAAACAGAAACATACTCATAGAAACAGAGACCAAAGGGATGGTGACCATAAAGGAGGGGGTGGGGTGAAAGGGGGGAGGGTAATATTGTCAATGATAGTGTGGTAAGTTGATATGGTGACAGACGATTCCTGGAATTAGCGGGGAGATCACATTGCAAGGTATAGAAACATTAAATCACCGTATCGTGCACCTGAAACTAATTAACCAATATATGATTGTATACTGACTATACTTAAATTAAAAATATTCCATTGTAATCCTAAAGATAATAGTCATGAAATTTCTAATGCTATACTTCCAGGAATTTTTTAAAAAATGAAATATTGCCATTTGCAACAACATAGATGAATCCTGAGAGTATCACGCTAAATGAAGTAAGTCAGACAGAGAAGGATAAGGACCGTATGATTTCACTCATGGGTGGAATATAAAACAGAAAGCATTATATGAGCAAACTCAGACCCAGAGATCAGTGCCGGGGGGAACGGGGTGAGGGGCAGGTGAAGATGGTAAAGGAGGACAAATATATGGCGACAGAAGGAGACTAGTCTCCTGGGAGACTAGGCTTTGGGTGGTGACCATTATACAATAGACACATGATGCAGCATAGAACTGTACACCTGAAACTGATATAATGCTATTAACCAATACCACTGCAATAAATTAAAAAATTTTTAAATGCCCTCATTCGTCATTACTTGGAATAACCCCTACAGGTTCACCTAAACACACACGCAAGGGTTCGTGTATGTCTGTGGATGACTCAGCTGCTTAACTCAGGCCAGAACCTTTGTTAGGACCAGAATCTACCTAAAACCCTGTCCATGGAAGAGCCTGACCAAAGCTGGAAGCCCACCTCCGACTTACAGGCTACACAGAGTGTGGACACTGGGAAATTACATTCCAGACTGGAAGAGGGGGTTGTCTCTCCCACGTGAAGGGTCCGTAAGAGCTACCATGTACGGAGGGTTTGCCAGGAGTCAGTATGAGGATGCTGTTATCGCTCCCCAAGAAACCATTAACATTCACTCCACTCCCACTTTACAAAAAAAAAATGTCGGGGGAGTGTATGCTCCTTGGCTAATTTGGACTTGTGAATAAATATTAGGGTCCGGTGCCTATCTCCTATCTGCCTGACCTGAAGCCATAAGGCCTAGATGATTTCTACGGTGCCGTGCTGAGTGTAGCTAATTTCAGAAACACACCCTTGAGCCATCATTCTTTCCACTGGCCCTTCCATGTCCAAGGGAACATGTTAGAGGAGGTAAACAAAAATCACAGATATTGGCCCTGGCTGCTGTGGCTCAGTGGATTGAGTGCTGGCCTGCCAACCAAGAGGTCACAGGTTCGATTCCCAGTGGCACATGTCTGGGCTGTGGGCCAGGTCCCCGATGGGGGCCTCTGAGAGGCAACCACATGCTGATGTTCCTCTCCCTCTCTTTCTCCCTCCCTTACCCTCTCTCTAAAGATAAATAAATAAAGTCTTAAAAGAAAAACCCTACAAATGCTGACAAGGACCACACCGTGCACTGCAGAAATGAACACCTCAGTAGGCGAGGCACATCTGTGTGCAGAGGGCAGGGATACTTTCGTTAAAGGCTATATGACTGGAAAACAGCCTTGGAGCAGAGAGATGGTTTTTCTCTCTCTGGGGCAGAGAAAGTTTCATTTATAAAAACAGGAGAACTCAACCCTGGCCAGGTGGCTCAGTGGCTTAGAGCACCGTCTCTATACGCCAAGGTTGTTGGTTCAATCCCTGGTCAGGGATCATACAAGAATCACCCAATGCATGAATAAGTAAGTGGAACAACAAATCAATATTTCTCTCTCTCTCTCAAAAATAAATAAAAAAGTTTTTTAAAAATACATGAGACCTTTAGAGATCTCCCCCTGTGTATCTCTCTGTAGGTGTGTCTCTGTCTGTCTCCCTCTCACTTGCTCAAATCAATAAGCATATTCTTGGGTGAGGATTAGAAACAAAAGAAGAAGAAGGGCAGACAACTACCATCTCAGCAGACACTAAGTCCCAGGTCACCCCCCATAATAGCACTGACTCATCTCAGGACAGAGAAACGGGGACACCACTGAGATCAACTGTTTGTCCCAGACCCTACCCACCCACCATCCATCACTGGCTGACCTATGCGTGGAATTGGCTTGTAATTTTTCTACCACCTCCAAGTGACCCTTAACCCAAAACACACCCTCCATGGATAGAGGCGTCACCACGACTTCAATGACAATATCCCCTTCATTACTGAAAGCTCCCAGTAGACCCACCTTCCCCTGGGGATTGCACCCCTTCATCACACACTTACTTCTGATTTCATCCTGAGCCTTGGCTGAGAGGTCACTCCGATTGACCTGTAGGAGCAGGCTCAGCATGACCTCCCATGCCTGCTTTCCTGGGTAATGCTTGTCCAGCAACGCTGCTACATCCTCTCGCGAAGCCTTCTTCAGCTCAGACCACCGGATGGGCTTGAGTTTGAGTTTCACAGGCTCTTGCTTGAGGAGCTCCTTAAACTTCCAGAACTCTTCCTTTCTGAGCTCCTTTAGGTACCACAGCATGCCAAAGTCAGAAAAGAAAGATCCAGCCATCTTGTCCCAGGATTGTGGGCTTTGGCTTCTCCAAAAGAAAAAAAAAATCTTCAAGTTCTTTTTTTGGTGATTCCTGGGGAAGAATGACATGATTATGGAGGTAAATCTCAGCAGTCAAAAGTGGCATCCGCGCATTGTTGACAAGAGTCAACATATGCAACTAGCCCAAGTACCCACAGATAGACAAGTGGATGAAGAAGATGTGGTGCATATGTACAGTGGAATATTACTCAGCCATGAAAAGTAAAATCTTGCCATTTGCAACACCATGGATGGACCTAGAGGGTATTATGCTCAGTGAAATAAGTCACAGAGAAAGACAAATACCATATGATTTCACTTATGTACAGAATCTAAAGAACAAAATAAATACAATAGAAAGACTCACAGATACAGAGAACAGACAATGGCTGCCAGAGGGGAGGGGAGTTGAGGGTTGGGTGGAAAAGGTGAAGGGATTGAGAAGCACAAATTGGCAGTTACGGAATAGTCACAGGGATGTAAAGTACAGCATAGGGAGTATAGTAAAAAAATTTTATAACTCTGTGCAGTACCAGGTGGGTGCTAGGCTTCATGGGGTGAACATTTTGTAAATTATATAAATGTTGAATCACTATACTGTACATCTGAAACTAGCATAATATTCAATGTCAACTGTAACTGAAAAGTAAATTATAAAAAGCACTCTTTAACAGAAATAAAATTTTCTTACAAACACATTAAAAACTTAATAAGTTCCTGGCCACTTAGCTCCATTGGTTAGAGCATCATCCTGATATGCTAAGGCTGTGGGTTTGATCCCCAGTTAGGGCACATGCAAAAATCATCCAATGAAGACATCAATAAGTGGAATAACAAATTGATGTTTCTCTTTCTCCCTTCCTCTCTTTAAAATCAATATTTTTTTAAAAAGGCAGTAAGAATCAGGCAAAATTGATTTTAATAGTATATTAATAATTTTTAAAAAGTGATAAAATATATATTTTAATTTAGCTATGCATTCTAAGCAATGTAGCTTGATGTCATCCATTGTTAGCAAATGGCTTGCTTTGGTTGACTTTTTTTAAATGGTTTTTTCATTCTATTTATTTATTTTTAGAGAGAGGAGAAAGAGAGAGAGAGAAACATTGACATGCAAGAGATACATTGATTGGTTGCCTCTTGCATGCCTCAGCTGGGGACCTGGCTATTATTCCCAAGAGCCAAAAGGTGGAAGCAACCCAACTGTTCATCAGAGGATGAAGGGATAAACAACATGTGGTCTAAACGTGCAATGGAATATTACTCGGCCGTCAAAAAGGAATGGAATGCTGACACATGCCGCCACTCAGAGAAGCTTTGAAAACACTGCAAAGTAAAATAAGCCAGACACAAAGGGATCCATTGTGTATGGTTCCATTTATATGAGATGCCCAGAAGAGTCAAACTCACAGAGGCAAAGCAGAATAGAGGAGAGGTGGGGGAGAGAGAATGGGAGTTGTTTAGTGGGGAGTTTCAGCTGGAGGGGGATGAAAAACTTCTGGAGACGATGGTGGTGATGGTTGCATAACGATGTGAATGCATTTAACGCAACTAAACTCTACTCTTAAAAATAATTAACGTAAGGAGACAGGTGGTCAAGTATATGGAGACAGGAGACTAGATTTTGGGTGCTCAGCACACAATGGGATGTACAGCGGATGTATTATAGAATTACACACCTGAAATGTATAGAATGGTATTAACCAACGTTACCTCAATACATTTAATCTTTAAAAAATGGTGAACATAATAGGCTTTGTTTTATGGATATGTTACCACATTTTTCAAAATTTTTATTTAATGATTTGAGAGAGAGAGAGAGAGAGAGAGAGGAAAGGGAAGAGAGGAAAAAGAAACATCCATTTGTTGTTCCCTTACTCATGCATCCATTGGTTGGTTCCTGTAGGTGCCCTGACCAGGGATCAGACCGGCAACTTTGGCATTTTGGGATGACGCTCTAACCAACTGAGCTACCTACCTGGCCAGGGCTGATATTTCACCACAATTCAACACCACCACCAAAAAAAAACAAAAAAAAAACAAACAAACAAACAAACAAAAAAAAAACCCCAACAAAAAAACACCCCACAAAGAAACAAAAACACTCCTTTGTCGTAAGGCTTTTCTCTAAACATTCCGTTCTCATTCCTTTTCTAGTTGAAACCTCCTGAACACGGGAATTGTGTCCCCTGAAGCCGTTCAAGCGCTGGCTGGTCAACGTCCCCACCCTCACACTCCGGGGCCCGGATGGGGGTGCGCACCGCACCGAAGCGCCCTAATACCTCACAGGCTCTCATCGGCCGCCCTCTTGCGCTGGAGCCTCACGGCCGGGCCCAGGCGGCCTGGTCTCGCAACTCCCACCACCTGACTCACTCCCACTCTCTGGGGCCTTCTGCGGTCACAGCAGACCAACCCTGGCGACAAAATTATCTGTATATGATGTAGCATAAAATGAGGACCCACTTGGACTTCCGGATGGTAAAAAATTAGTAGCTGGAAGCCAATCATCCATCCAAACCACCCCGGCGACGCGCCTCACACTTACCTCCCCCCGCCCTGCCCGGTGCCCCTCCCTCCCGTCACCCCCTAACCTGAAACCTGCTCCTCATTTGTCGCCCCAGGTTCCGTGACTCTCACAGTCAGAGCTGACAGACCAACCAAGTCCAAGACTTGGACTTTGGAGGATTTGGGGTATTAGTTCTCCGGCACCCAAAGTCCTCTAATCCAGTCTCCGATTCAATTGTATTTGGTCTTATTTTTTATTGGTTGATTTTAGAGAGAGAGGGTAGGAGAGAGAGAGAAACGTCGATTCGTTGCTCCACTCGTTCACGCACTCACTGGTTGACGGCTGCGTGTCCGCCGACGGGCGTGGAAGTGCAAGCGCGGCCAGCGCGGAGGACGCTCCAGCCACCTGGCCAGGGGCTGACGCAGTTTCAGAAGAGAGGGCGCCGCAGTCCCCTTCTCTCCCCGCGTTTAGCGTTGAAAACGCGGAGGTTTCGAGAGAAGCGCGGCGCGCCCCACCGCTCCGCGAATGGAAGCGCTTTCCACCGTAAAACACCCTTGGCACAGCCAAGGGGGCAGGACTTGGTCCTTGGGGCACCCCTACCTCACTCCTAACGCACCCCAGACCTGCAGTAAGTGGTGAGAAGGGGAAAAGAAGGAGGAGGAAAGATCCCAGGGAAGACATCCTCACCCGATCCAGCCGCTGGGCCCCGAGGACGGTGCGCATCGAAGAGATCCAGCCGCTGGTCCCCGAGGACGGTGCGCATCGAAGAGCGTCTCCGGGCGCCGAGACTAAAAGGCTCGTCCTGCCCGCCGATTGGCTGTAGCGTCCCTCTCCTCCCATTGGCTGGCCGGACTCTGGATGGATGAGATTCGGGGATGCCAAAGCGTTGAGGCTTGTTTCCTCCACCTCAGGTGTGAGTGATCTTCCCTCCGGCTTCTCCCCACGACACCACCAATAGACCCTCCCGCTGGGGTATAATCTCTGGGCTCCCGTCCGCAGCGCCGTCCCGCGTCCGAGGGCGGGCAGTTGGAGGCGCCGCTCTCGCCCACCCTCTACGCTTCCCCAGAGAAGCTATCTTGCTCATCTCCTCAGCTTTCAGAGAAGCATCTAGAACGGAGCCTTTGTGCATGAGGATGTCAGTGGCGATGGACAGCGAGCTCTGGGCAGAAAGGACAGACGTTCGACTGTGCAAAAAAAAAAAAAGTCTTTTATTTGTAATGGTGATAGGAACACTGAACATGAGATCTACACTCTTCCCAAAATTTTGTTTTGTTTTGTTGCTTTTTAGAGAAAAAAAGAGGAAGGGAGAGGGAGAAACACTGATTGGTTTTTCCACTCATTCATGCACTCATTGGTTGCTTCCTGCGTGCACCGTGACCGGGGATCGAACCCGCGACCCTGGTGCACTGGAACAACACTGCAACCGACTGAGCTCCCTGGCCAGCACAACACCCTTACCAAGCTTTTAAGTGTGCAACGTCGCGTCGTTCGCTAGAAACACACAATGTTGTTCAGGAAATGCCCAGAACTTACTCACCTCTCAGAACTGGAACTTTACACCCGTTGAATAATAACTCCCCCTCCTCCCCCTCCTCCAGCTCTTGGAAACCGCCATTCCACGCTCTGCTTGTAGGACTGTGTTTTAGATGCTTCACTAAGGTGTAATCTGGCGGTATCTGTCTTTCTGGGACTGGCTGCTTCACTCAGCATAAAGCCCCCCTGCTCCATCCGTGCCAGCGGCAGGCGAGCCCTCCTTTTAAGGCTGGAGAACATTCCATCGGTGCCTACGAACACCCCATTACTCTCGTCACAGACTCCAGTGTGAGCCCTGTCCCATCGACACATAATCACCACACCACGCCCAACTGCCATAATTGTCTCCACCTCCTCTGACATTAATTGGGTGCTAATGACTGAAGAGCCCTCGGTCCATCCATAGTCTTATTCTTCCCCCCCGGCAAAGGGGCTCGAGGCCATCGGGGCCACCGGGTGAAGGCTACACTTGAGAACATTCCTACTTGATCAGCCCAGCCGTTAACCTCCAGGCAGCATGGATCCTAGGGGGCGCTTCAAGAGGCCAGTGGCCGGTGCGGCCTCGTTTCACCTGGTGAGAATGGGCTGAGAGGCTCTGTGGACCTTTTCTCTCCCCGGCCTGGGTTATTGGTTAACCCAGACGCGTCCACCGAAATTCATCCAGCCTTTCTTACCCGTCCACAGCCAGGCCGCAGAGCGCACGCATTAGAGAAATGTGTCTGTTTACAAAATATTTTTCTTGTGGGTATTAGAGAGAGAAGAAACGAGAAAGAGAGAGAACCATCGCTTTGTTGTTCTACTTCTCGATCCACTCATTGGTTGATTCTTGTGTGTGTCCTGGCAGGGGTGCGGAAACAAACCTGCAACCTTAGATATTGGGACAGCACGCCACCGAACTGAGCTCCCCAGCCAGGGCTAGAGAAATGTCTTAATTTCCTTTTTGCTTTTTTTCCATT